GTTTTGTGAAACTCACCACCAGGAGCTGAACCAGATGCTCACAATGACTATCAGAGAAAAATACTCTAATCCTTTATCAGGGGTAGGAGAAAGGAGCTGTTCTGAATTACACCAAAGCATCCTCTTTTTAGGAAGGCATGTCCCAGGAGAAACTATTCTACCACAGACTAATGTGCTGGGGTTTTATCAAACCATAATCTACATGGAAGAAGAGAAATACCTTACTGCAGCCAACTCTAGCTACCCTGTCCCAAGTTAAGTGGGGATGGGTGGGGTGCAGAGAATACCGAGAAACTGGTATTCACAGCCAAGTGGCACAGCCTTGCTAAAAGACTATGGAGTATTCTTTCCTTATCCCCAACACGCACAATCATACACCCTACCAGCACATCACCAAATGACAATATACTATAATTCCTTTCACCCAGTACATCATATCCACCTTTCAATTAAAAAAAAATTACAAGGCATACTAAAAAGCAAAGAAATTAAAAGACTGAATAAGCATCAAAACCAAAGTCAGACATGGCAGAAATGTCAGAGTATCAAATGAGGAATTTTAAAAACTAGTATTGTATTAAGACTGTAATGGAAAAAACAGACAACATACAAGAACAGACAGATAATGTAATCATCAGAGGGACAGAAATTCTAAGAATATGAAATGCCAGAGATTAAAAAAATTAGACAGAAATGAATACTTTTATAAGCTAATGAGTATGCTCACCTGTATCTTCATAAACCTGGTTTTTTTCCTCACTGAGTTTATTGGTACGTTTTAGGTATACAGTACAGTTACATTCATTATTGGGATCTTGTATCTTTATATGACAGGTCTTGGTACTCATTTTTTCCCCATGTCCCTGCCCTCCCTTCACCCCCTCCTCCGCTCCCCATTTACCTTTGAGTAAAATTTTACATATTAAAGGTTTTCTGCTATTAGCAGAAGATCAATAATGTTTTTTTTTAAGGCTGGGAATAAGTTTATTCAAAAAGAACATATTAAAAAGAAGAGAAGTGCCTTCCTTAATTAAACATATCCAGTTTCCACTATTCCTTTTTTTGTACTCTCCAATTCCCTATACTTGAAGTTTGTAAAATCATACATTATGATGCAAGAAATTTCATAAGTCTATGATACACAGTTTACCAAAAACTAACAACACACTAAATACTTCATCGCCTAAAATTAATGATAAATTATTATCTACAAAGATATAATACAAGATCTACAGCATGATATTCAAGAATTTCAAGAAGGATTATTATCATGCCGCCACCCCCACTCCACCACTGCCAAAAAAAAAAAAAGCATCACATGTTTGGAGGGTGATTACACCATGGGGCACTATAGCTAGATGTTCTGTCGGGAGGTGCACCTGACAGGAAGAGGTCACTGGGGCCTGACCTGGAAGGGTTTATCTCACTCCACAGTTAGTTATACCTTCTCTCTGCTTCCTGGCCACCATGATAGTGAGCAGTTTTCCTCCACCAGACCCTTCCACCATGCTCTTCCTGCCTTAGAGCCGAACAACTAGGAACTGAATCCTTTAAAAACCATGAGCCAAAATAAATCTTTGGTATATCTTTGGTCAAAAGGAAAGAGAAATTCAAAAGGGCAAAAAATTTAACATATTAGTATTGTTTTACACCACTTCACTTGTAAAATTTGCTATAGTAGTAATACAAAACTAATATAGCATTCTTTAAAAAATAAAATAAACTCTTCAATTTGTGTGAGATATTATGTCTCAGCAATAAGGAAAGTAACTGGAGAGTAAAATCTGCCTTTATAAATGAGTCTCCTACTAAACTCAACATGAACTCTCTTCTGTAGCTAGTCTATCCTCCAATTTGCCATTTCCCTGCCTATGTGCATTTCTCCTACCATTTTCTTGAGAATGCCTTCCTGTTAATCTATATTCAGCCTTCCCATCATTAGCTTCTTCTCTTAAAAAAAATCGTTACACAAAGAGCATAAATTATGGAGACTGGGTGACTTAGGTCTTACTCTAGGCTGCACTATTTACTGATTCATATCTCTGAGGCTGGATTTCCTCATGTATACAATGGAATTCAGGGGCTGGGGATTTAGCTCAGTGGTTCTGCCGCCTGCCTTGCAAGCACAAGGTTCCAAGTTCAATCCCCAGTACCCCACCCACCCCATAAAAAACAAAACAAAAGAAAAAAACAAAAATTAAAATGGAATTCATTTGTAGATGACATCAAATGCACAGAATTATTGTTAGACTATAGGTGAAGTTGATGGCACAGTGAGTTAAATAACCAATAAGATCAAATGTGTTACTCATTTCCCTAAACTCCTTATAATTTCCTTACATATTTAGCAATTCACAGTCTTCACTAATTCCATCTCTTACACTTTTGCCCTAAATTATTATTTATTTTAATTTTTATTCCTGTCTAGGTTTTGAGTCACCAAACAGACCAGAAGCTTCTTGAAAGTCAGGACTAGCTGGGCATGGTGGCTGACCTGTAATACCAGCATTTGGGAGGCCTAGGAGAAGGATTTTAAATTCAAGGCCTGGGCTACATTAAGTTCAAGGCCAGCGAATACTACATAGTGAAATCCTGTCTCAAAAGGGGTGTGGGGGTGGAGAGAAAAAGAAAAAAAAATAAAGAAAAATTAGGACTATGTTATACCTACTTACAATTCCATGTGGTTCAGCACAATGCTACTTATAAAACAGAACTCAAACATTTCCTCAGTAAAGCATTTACTGAGAAATAATGGTTAGAAAATGGTAACACCACTTTAAGAACATTAAATGCACATTAACACATGGAACATCCACTGAAGGGTAAAGGAAGAAGGAGGATAATCTAGAGGATAACTTTGAGAAGTAATCATTCCTTGTCAAGAATCTAGATCTAGGGCTCGGGATTTAGTTCAGTAGTGCCGCTGCCTGCCTCACAAATACAAGGTCCTGAGTTCAATCCCCAGTACCAAAAAATAAATTTTACAATATTATCTTAATACTTCACATACTTTATAATTCTCAGAGAATTTTCATGTCTTTATTTCCAATACAATTTGTAACTATAACAGAGAAATGTGTCTGAATAGGTAAAAGCCAAAATGAGATCTGATAAAATACAGTTTTTTGTTTTTTGGACCCAAAGATTAAACTCAGGGCTTCAATCATGCATGGTATGCCTGGCCACTGAGTTATACCCAAGCCCAAATACAATTTTTTCATTGAAATATTCTTCCTTTAATGTCTCAGAACATTATTACTAACAAAAATCAATCAGTATTTTAAAAATCACAACTTAAAAAAACACTAAAACAAAAACTTTCTTTTATTTTCATGTTCATATCCTTTTTATTAGTACATAATGATCACATGTTTACGTAGTGATTAGTACATACTGATTACATTTATCATGGGGAGCTGGTACACACACACACACACACACACACACACACACACACACACACAGTATTTCTTTTTTTTTCCCATCCCTACCCTCATATTCTTCTTAGAGAATTTAAGATAAATAGTTCTGCTGTCACAGAACTGTGGTTCTCAAAGCATAGTCACTAGACCAGCATTACCATCACCACCAGGCAATTGTTTCACCAATACAAAACCCCAGGGCCCAGCTATGTACTGAACTGAAAATTCTAGAGTTGACCCAACAATCTTGGTTTTAACAAGAACTCCATATGATTCTGATGAATGCTAATATTTGACAGTAGCTCTTATAAAATGGTGATTTTTTCTAATAAAACAGTAACTATTAATATACTTTTTAACATCTTTCTCACACTTCACATAATCTCCCACATTTTTCTCATTTAAATGATTAATTCCACCAATAACTTTATCATGCTTTCTTTCTAATCCTTTGAACCACCCAATGTATTTTAAGCTAAGTGTGAAGTAATTCCAGCTACTTGGGAGGCTGAATAAAAGAACTGAGATTTCTGGGCCAGATTTGGGCAAGTTAGTGAGACTCAAAAAATTAAAAGGGCTGCTCAGTCCAAAATCTGAATCCCTAGATTTGGTCCCCTATACAGCCAAAAATTGTTATTACACATAAATTATTATGAGCTCCTTATGTAAAGAGAGATATCTAACATGTCAATAGGCATACAAACAATCCTATATAAAAAATTTGCAAATTTTAAAAAAATGTATAAATAGGCCTACTTTTTTATCCCATCCTAAAATGTATAATAACACAAATTTGTAGAGAAATTTTTAAATAAATCATCATACCTGTAAAATTTTATAATGAAATATTTCCATGAACATCAAAATTCCAACTTTCCTACAAAAACTCAACTTTACCATAAAAAAATTGACACTTATACAAGTTTTGAAAGTATTTTCTTAGGAAATATAAAATACACAATGTAGGTCTTATTTAGCAAATTAACCTATGGTTCATGGCCTAGAATTCCAGCTAATAACAATGAATAAGAATCAACTGCCAGGTGCTGTGGCATATGCCTATAATTCCAGCTACTTGGGAAGCTAATGCAAGAAGATTGCAAGCTCAAAGACATACTGGGCAACTTAGTAAAACCCTGCCTCAACATAAAAAGTAAAAGAGTTGCCTGGGAATGTAGCTTAATGGTATATAGTCCCTTGGTTCAACATCCAGCTGTGGTATGTGGGGCAGGCAGGTTCAACAGATAACTCTAAGGAAAATGGCCAAAGCATACTTCTTCTGAAAAGAAAATCATAACAACTAAGAGGACTTTTCAGAAGTACTCTGTAGGAACACTGACTCTAAGTAGGCATTTTTAGATACTATCCGTGCACTTGTATATAGAAGCAAGTACATCATTTTGCTAATACAGATAAATAATGACAATAGCAAAGAAAAATAACCCAAACCATCACAAAAGTGTTTTGGTCGATGAGAATGTGCCTTACACCATAATTAATAAATCTGGTAGAAAAAGACCTCCAGTTCTAGATATTACAAGGTAATTCATAGCCAGACGTAATGAAGGACTGACTTACCTGTGTACGTAATGTAGTTGATGAACTGAGTCAATTGCTATCACCATCTCAGCCAAGTAAAATCGAGCCATATCTTCCGGCAATCTATCTTCAAATTTGCTGAGCAGAGTAAGTAAATCCCCACCAACATAATAATCCATAACCAGGTACTGTGAATGAAAAATTAAGAGTAAAAATTAATATATTTTAATGTTTCCCAAGAAGTAAGATAATCAGTAGTCATTATAAGACTTTTAAATTTCATACAGTAGTAAATTTTTTTAAATTGGGGTAGAAAACAATATTAGATTCTGTTTTTGTTGTGGCTATATTTTATAAAGTAGTATCATCTTTACCAACAATGGACCATCACTTTATCAACACCTCACAAAACACTGGACATTCTAATTTTCCAAAATGTAAAAGGGAAATAACACACTCAGAATATAAGATCGTCATTATGTTGATTGAAATCATATTAATCTGCATCACTATATTTTCTTTATTTTACCTTGGAGCATGAAAGTTATTAAAATTTGCACCAGTCTATGGATTAGCATTTGGAAACCACTATTTTATAAGCAACAGTAATTTCAAGCATACATTCTCTTCCTATTTCTGATAAGAGTACAAATAAGAAAATGGATTCTTCTCAGGTATATGTAAATAGCAGCCATCACAGTAATAGAATTTTATAGATATGTGTATGTGCCTCACATGCACACATGTGTGTATGTGTGTGTGTGTACACACCAAAAAAGAAAAGGAGTATACATCAAAATATCCACCAGATTACTTGGGTTGTCAGATTACAGACATTGTTATAGCTTTTTGTTATATTCTACATTACTTTTTAAATACATGTGTGCCTGCGTATGTAGCACTTATGAAGACAAGAAAATGGAAGATATTTAAACATTAATTATAATGCGCTGATGTTACAGTGATTTTATTACCAAACGGAAATACTTCAAAGGTATGACTGAGTTGACATTATGATTTAAAGAGTCTTGAGAACATTTAAATTTTTTTTTTTTTGGTACCGGGGACCTTGGGTTTGTGAGGCAGGGGTGGAACCACTGAGCTAAATCCCCAGCTAAAATTTAAATTATTTTCATTACTATAAAATTATAAAGATAGAAAATGTATGTTTTTGTTTTTTCTTTGTTTTTGTTTTGTTTTTTTGAGACAGGGTCTCACTATGTAGTTGAGACTGTAGAAAATGTATGTTAAAGCAAAAAAACTAATCTCATATATTTAAGTCCTTGAATATGGAAACTATATATAAAATCTTGGTCAATCTTGCTATATTTACTAGGCCTGATGTTAAACTCTGTCCTATGATTAGAATAAGCTAATGAAATGTAACGAAATTATATTAACAAAAAATTTGCAGGAAATGGAAATGGATTTAAAGAAATCCACACCTCTTACTTTAAAAAGAAATACCTTGAGAAGAGTAGCAAGAGCCTTTTAAAGACTTAAAAAAACAAATTTACTATTAAAATGGAATGGAATGTTTATATACAGAGTCATAAAACATAATTCCTTCCTTTGATAAACATTTACTAAGTGCCATTCAGGATACTTTTTATAAGAAAGAGAGGAAATACCCAGGGAATATGGAAAAGAAAGATCCCTATATCAAAGACTTTTTTCTCTTGAAAGGGGACTATATTTTTACCACCAGAATCTTAAGAAATCTGAGTACACTATTCACCACTAAAAAATAACTATCTCAGTATTTTTGTTATTCATGGTCACCATTCAAAACAGGCTATTTGAGTCACTGCATGTTCTGCTTCACCAACACATCACTTTGTGCTTTCACTTACAAACTCTAAACTCCATGGATCTCTTCCTTGCTAAACCTTCAATGTGCCACAGTGAAACTCTTCTATGGTAAATGTCCCTAAAACAGAACTAAAAATAATGAATATAAAAGTATTTTGGTTTTTCTTGCCTGTTAAACTGGGTTCTAGCTTTGCCAACTCACACTCTTCCCCACTGTGCCCTCAGAAATAAATTGTTATTAAGACAGAATTCAGTAAGTTAAGGAAAGAAGTAAACAAAATTTTTGAGAAAAAAAATTGTTGAAAATGAAATTTTTGGTGTTAAAGACACAAGATGCATCAAGAGGGGCAGAGAAATAATACACAAGCTGACATATAAACAATATTCCTTTCTCATCACAACATATCTCTATGAAAATAACCAAGGTCTAGGAGTCATTCTTTTATGTTTTCTCCGTTGCCACATTCAACTATCAAGGTCTTATTACCTACTCAGTCTCTATGGATTCCATCTACTTCTATTCCTACCCACTACACAAAAATTCTAATGCAGACTCCTATGCTTTCTGGACTGTGTATTGTTACAGTTTAAAGGCAAAGTGGGTAGTTGTCCATAATATTTTATTGTGTAAATAATTTTTGGCAATAGAAAATAGAATACAGAACAACAAAGGAACAAGTCGGCTCACTCACTACATCAACAGACTTTTAAAAGGTCCCTACAGTACTGTAGTAACATCACACTTATCTAATGGGAGCAAAATCATAAATAAGATATACTTCCTGCCTTCAGGGAATTTATAATCTAACAGAGGAGAAAACACAAAAGTAGGCAATTTCTTTTGTTTACTTTTTTTTTGTGTGTGTGTGGTACCGAGGATCGAACATAGGACCCTCTGCTTGCAAGGTAGGCAGGGGCACCAATGAGCTAAATTCCTAGCCCCTAAGTAGGCAATTCCTATGTACCAGAAACACCTTGACAAAAATAAACACAGGAGGTTGTTACTGTCTCTTCAACATTTGAATCATATTCATTTGTTTGAAATTTACTGTTGGTCAAGATGTGGAGGCTATTTTCTTAGGTACAGAGTGCCTATTAACTAAAATAATTTAAAAATCCATTGTTTACACCAATTCATTTGAGGTATCACCTCATCATACTGTAAGATCTCAAATACACTCATATTTGTTCCTGTGAACTCTGTTCTACTATGTTTGCCTATTTCTGTATCAATATCATATTGTCCAGACTGGATAATTTCATAGAAAAATTTAACATCTGGTAGGACAGGTTCCTACTTACAAACTAGCTTTAAATGTCGCCCAATCTGGCTAACGCATCATTGAACATGTTTTTAAAAACCACATAAGAAGTAATATTCCAAAAATATATCAAGGAGATAATCATACTAAAATAGAGGTTCTACATTATTTCCATCTATTTGTTATCTCACAAAAGTGTTTGTAGATGGGGAGGGGAGGAGAGGGTGAAGGGAGTGCAGGAACAAGGGGAAAAAATGAGAACCAAGACCTGTCATGTAGAAGTACAAGATCCCAACATTGAATGTAACTGTACTGTATCCCTAAAATGTACCAATAAACTCAATTAAAGCTGAAAAAAAAAGAGCTCCTACCAATTGTTAGGAGGATAAACAATCCAGTAAAACTAGGCTGAGGATATTAATAGATAATTTACATATCAGGAAACAATTATCCAATTAAAGCATGCTAAGCATTAACAGCAGTCAAGGAAATAAAAACTAAAGCAGCAACTAAAATGCTGTATTTCATCAATCAGATCAGTAAGCACACAGTTTTGAGGAAAGTAAAAAGAAAACAACACTGCTTTTGTAGGATAATAAGACCTTTCAAGAAAGTAATTTCATAGTTTCATTTAAATAAGAATGCCCGCTGCTCTAAATAGTGTCACTCTTAGGAATGTAGTCAATTAAAACAAAAGCACCAAGCTGGGCACAGTAGTGTATGCCTGTAACCCCAGCATTTGGAAGGCTGAGGCAAGAGTATCACAAGTCTGAGGCCAGCCTGGACTACACAATGAGACCATGTCTCAAGGAGGAAAAAAGCACTCCAATGCACAAGAAATATGGGCAAGTGTATTTACTACACAAAATTGTGGGCAAGTGCAAAAATCAGAAAAAACATATGAAAATGAAAAAGCAAACAGTTAATTATGGCATATCCATCCTATGAAATATTACATAGCTGTCAAAAGAATAAATATATATACATATATCCCACGAGATATTTTAAGGAACAAAGCAACCTGCAAAAAGCAAACTGCACAGTAATATATATTTTATTATTCCACGTTTATATAAAGAAAATATGCATACATACATAAACATATAATTATGCAAAGCATTAAAAAAATCAAAGGATTTACAACAAACGTTTCAACAGTTACCTCAAAAAACGAAGGTTTTCAAAATTTTTTTTGTATATCCCTATGTGGTAGAGGAAGAAAGTTAAACTGATGTTAGTCAATGGATTAAAGTTCTACAAAAACAGGAGATGATGAAGACAAAAACCTTAAACATGAAGCTACATCTCATCTACATGCAAAAAGGACAAGTTCACATATGGATGAATTTGCATAAAGAGAAGGAGGAGAGAGTGAAACTTTAAGAAAGTTAATGTGTGAGTAAAAAAATGTCTTATTAGATGGCTCTCATTTTTTCCATAAAGTGGAAACCCTGGAATCCAAGTGTAAGAATATTTATATAATGTCCTTAATGTTAAAGGTTGTAATCATAACTGTTAATTTCTGCTTTGTAGTTACAGAACCACAAGCAAAAGAATAAAATAATTTGCCAAACATTTAAAGGAAGAAGCAGAATTCTGGGTTATTAATCTTTATGTGCAAGCACCTTCCCATTTGCATCTTGTCGTCCTCTCAAACTGCTTACTGAGGGCAACTGCCAAGCGCCCTCCACAACACCCCTAGGAACCCTCAGTTGGGCCACCCTTGAGGAGGGAAGTGGGGACAGAACTGGGAAAGGGAGGGATGATCCATTTCCTGAATAATAGAACCAAGATGATTTATTATTATTATTAATTATTATTATTATTATTGCAAAAAGGAAACCTAGTACTGGCAGAGGGGAACATCTCTGCTTTTATCTTCAGGTTTGACTCCTGGCACTGCCTGTGACACTTGGAATTTTGAGCTTCAGGGAATTCAGAAGTTTTGGTGGCACAGTGTATCAGGGGAAAGGGAAATCTTGAGTGCACAATGAACACACCAAACAGCATGTTTTGGAAGTTAGTGGGTGGGTTGACTGAGAGCACTGGGCCTTTGCAGTTGTTATTTGGAAAGAGTCTTTTTTGGTTGCACTTCTATCAGTAATTCTCTCCCC